TTTTTTTTTTTTTTTTTTGCTTAGCAATAAAATCTTAGCCACGGGCGAAATTCCTGGCGTAATTTACTTCAACTTTCCAACCAATCACATGACTAGAAGTACTCCGGCGAGACGTTCGTTTCGTTTGGAAGATCGAAATTTCAAAGAGAGAAACACGGCCAGTGTCCATTAGGGTTAATGAACCCGTAATCGAACGTCGTCTAATAACTCCGATAGATTTCATTTTGCTGTGCTGGTGTATATCCGATCGACCTTTGCAACCCAACGTCTGTTACTGATGTTTGTATTATATCCGTTTAATCCGATCAGTCATAATATTATTATTACATTATGCATGTTGCACGTACGCAATGTCGATAAAATCAATTGTGGCCCGTACAAATGATAGCGAGCACTTATGTTACTTTATGGTACTGTTGGTGAATTGAACGTGTATTGCTGCAATATGAGTAATAATAGCGATTAGTGTTCGTATCGTTGTGTTATGATTTTTCGATATTGTAACGAATACATAATAAATAACATTAAGACGACGGCGGTCGTAGTATAAATATAACACGTTCTTTATATCCCTCTTACTGTGTACGAAACAAACGAGAAATAAATGTCAACACGAACTGTGTGTGAATATTGTAAGCAGACATGATTTCCTCTACCCGAGCACCTAAACGATTCAGACCGTTTGGCCTAAGTCCATACACTCGAAACGCTAATGGTCCGATCGTTTTGGGGCCACGCAGTACACAAATACCATTTACACAGCTCGGAGCTACTACTCTAATGTGTTAATATTATTTTAGTCGAATTGGTTTCACTTTCAGGCCTTTAAAATTTACAAAATTTACACGGGTCGAATTTGTTTTTTTTTTTTAGATATTTTTGGGAACTTAAAATTTTTTATTTAAGTAAGACGTTAAACCATTGCAGATAATTGTATGCAATTACAATATATGTGCATACATGATTATTTTTGTCCAATGGTTGTGAAATTTTTCTTCGAGTATGCAATTTGTATTTAATGATGGTTTTTTCTTCGAGATGTGATAATGCACAATCATAAAACACCATTTGGCGGGTTATGTGTATGATGGCAGATTAACGCACAACAGCGAAACTCGTTATAGGTGTAATTAAACAAATTTCTATTCCTTTGGTTGCAACACACCCGAGTAAATTATAATGAACTAACGTTTTTCATAAGAGGGTGTGAATTAAAAAAAATCGCTACGCTTGTATGTAAATTTAACCTCAGTGACGGATTTTTATTTAAATATAAAATATCATCTCCTGCCTAACTTTATTTTTCAAGTATAAGGCTAGTTGTTGACTTATTTATAAAATTTATATAATTGTTACAATAATCACTTCTTAGCTATATTGTAAGTGAAAAATATTTTTTTGGATAAGTCATTCAGTGTAAGTAAAATCCTGACATTACATCAGCATTTAAATAAGTGAATTCTATAATATCACATGTAAACAAAGTACCATAAAGTAATGTAAGTTATAATTTTCATTATCAAAGTATTATTCGCTCATACTTTTTATTATATTTGATCAATGTTACTAACACTCTTATAAATTTAATACTTCAGTATTTTATTTTGTTATTATTAATCGTGCAAAGTACAAGAGGTTGTTATTTTTTGCGCTCGGTAATCCATCAGACACGACAGTTAGCGATTTAGAAGTCTTACGATTGCAGCTTGTCGGTGGCTTCATGTGTTTAAATTGAGTATATATGTTTTTAACCTAACTAAAGTGGGAGATCTGGAAGTCAATAAGTTTCATTAATCATCGTTAAGTTCTTTAATGACCTCGTAGGTATTTTGATATCTGATTATTAATTTATATTGGTTTCTTAAATTTGAGAGTCATTTGTATTAAACGGATTAATATTTTTATGCAACAGACATATTGTCATAATACAATCAGATATTAATCTACATTTAGCGAACTTTATAGCATTTTTTGAGTTTGTTTTCAATAATATAAATTAATTTTTACCATGAAAATATATATATACTATTTTTAATAATACATGAGAATAATTTTAATGTAATTTAATTTTGTTTTAGGCTACCAGGAAAGCGGTAAAATGCGGATATCTATTCGTAGCGCCCGGACGAGATTTCTCAAATCCTATAAACAGGACCAAGGTAAGAGCGGAAAGTATTTCATTGAAATGATAGTCTTACTTGAAAACCTCGTGCAAACGGTTTATATTTATAACATCCAAATTCAGAGGTGAAAAAATTTCTCCGTTATAATTACCCAGACGTCAAACTTATACGCTAGGCTTATTTAGATTAGATAATAAAATCCATAACCTTTTGTGGAGTTTATCAATTTTCACAAAACGCGGTTTCATGGTAGATTAACTGTCAAACACAACTGTCCAATTATAAATATGTATGTTATTGTTTGCTATTGAGAATAAATGAACGGATTTCTTGTTTTGCTCCATTAATCCCTTGAAAGCAGGTTTTATGCGGCTGTCTAGTTTGTAGACCTTTTACAATTTTTTTTTTTAATCGCAAAAACCAGTCGATCGGAAATATAGTAGTGAAAGTCATTAATGTTGTTTTCACCTAAGGGATAGATGATGATATATTTGGTTTCTCTTTTTTATTTTATCTGAATGTTTCTGACCATAATTACGTTTTGAATGGACAAGAAGAAAAATGTTACAACTGTTGTCGTGGTCAGTGTGTTAATAATGATTTGCTGTTATAATCCAATAATGATCACAACTTGTTATTTTCATTTTTTTTTTTTAAGTACTTTGAGTTCAGTTTTGTTTATTACGATCATTATAATTTTCTTCTAAAATACATTGTCATTTATTACATTTATTTATGTCGGCACTAAGCTGATTAGGACTAATGATCAACCCACACACATACCTACTACAGTAACCGCCAATGAATATATCTAAATACTAAAATATTTCTCTGTAATACTCAGATGTTTTTCCTTATTTGTTGGCAGTATTGACGAAAATTGTCTATTGTTTTCGTAATGTTCTATGCATATGTATTATTTTTTCTACAGTCAAACAGCATCTGTGTAGCAATGAGCACATTTCTCGCTGTCTCTTTCATTGCCTTGTAGGAAGAATTTCCTGTTATGATATTTAAAAATACGTAAAACTATTAATAGTTACATTAAACAATTTAATAAATATTCAATTAAAAACAATACAGCCATTAAATATTTCACCCCACCAATGTATGTTTTAAAACACATTTTTTAACTGTTGTCTGTGTTATCACGTATGTTTTTTTTAACAAAGACTAATCATCATTGTTTAATGATGATACACTCTTTATAATTTCAAATTAAAATTCAAAGTAAAAATTTTATAGCTTTAATATGCATTTCAATTATTTCCTGACCAATGACAGATGAATTTCTTTAAGCTTCTAATCAATTTTATGATTTTATTGATAAATAATTATGTTAATTAATTCTTAAAATCAGTTACATCTGAAGTTTTTATCAAAAACTATGAATATTTTGGATTGATGTGGTGGCTGTAAAATTATTATGAATGTCTACCATATTAACGTTTGTCAACACACGAAAAAAACTAGACGTATTCGTTTCCGGTTTCAATAAATCATTTCAAATACTAGTTTTCAATTTACGAAGGTACTTAATGTAAGACTTTGTTTTAATTTAATTTCTCATTGTGTTTTTTTTTCATACCGGTTAACATACTCTATAATATTTGTAACTACCGCGGTATGTGTTGTGTTTTAAAGAATTATTTTGGTATCTACCTATTTTTGCCTTTGTATCACAACTTGTACTAGTACAGTAATTTTTGTTTTAATAAACCATATATCATATTTGTTCTTGAACATTGACAGGCGTGAACATGTATTACATAGGTTGTAGTTAATGCTGTGTTTGATGGGAAGGAGGAGGTAGACAAAAAGGGTAGGTTGTCGTCACGTATATTGGTAATCATTAAAGGTTTTATAAAAAACTGATTACACTGTCTTCGATAAAAAATAAAGTCGAAGCCGGCCATTGCAGCGGACAGTGGCCGGAGTAACACCGGCGAGACGGCATCGACAAAAAGACGTGACTCCTTCACAGTCGTCAGTCAACCCGAACGAGCGCGTAACAGATGATCGTTTCTTATTTTTGTGACTGCCATTATATCACTTCGCCCGCGTTACATACAAGTACGATAAAAATAATAATAATAGCTATAACGACAACACATACGCTTTCATCTAGTTAGTATGGTTTCCGGAACGAAATGGCCGCAGGGCTCATAACATTTAACCTTTTGATCGTGCCCGAGAACATAATATATTCGAAAAATGTTAACATAATTAAAATTTTGTGAAACAAACACGATTGCCGAAATTATCAGACTCCCGTGGGCCGTCGAATCAAATTTGTGCACCTCCAAGTTCGATTTGGTTTGTTTATAAATAAAATGTTTATTATTTACTCTTATATGTCGCAAGCTGACTGCACTCTTTGCACCGAGATAATCGAGCTATATAATGTGTTAGGTATTTTCAATGGCATACCACAATAGTAACGAACTATAGAGAACATAATATTGTCTTTTCGGGTGGGCGTCAGTAGAAGGACAGTGCACGAGCGCATTGCTTACCGGCGGCAATAACGCAGCACTTCGGTTTTAATGTTAGGCCGCAAAGCCTCAAGTGTGCTGGCACTGCCGTTACCAAATGAGGTAGGCTTGCAGCCGCGTGAAACATTCCACACGCGAAGAACAACCGCGATATTCTACCAATCAGTGACGGACGTGACGGCCAATTGCTGCAGTATTGTCTTGGAGTTTCAAGTGGGAACGGCCGGAAGGGAGACTCCGATTTTGGCGGATGTGGCACCTACAGAAGTTGTACGCGCACTGCATGTCTATCAGTTTCGTAATGAATGCAGCTAGCCGAGCGATAAGCTCGACTTTCGACCTAGAGTATGCCTGTGACGCGTGAACGTGTAGGCGGAACATTAGATGCCTATAGTATTAGGATCATTGTTCGAATGACACATATGAAAACTATAATAAACAAAATATCTCGCGGGTTGAATACGACCAACTGGAGGGCGTGGAACGCAAGGTCGCGTCGTATTGATTAGTAGGGAAATATTTATTCATAACAAACGCAATAGATACCAAAAAAGTGTACAAATCGCGTATGACGTTGTAGGCATAAAACTTTTTATCTACCAGTTCACTACTACCGATCGGATTGAACTTGTATGATTTGAAAGCCTACACAGGAAACCTGCATGGTTAAATTTTCCACAGAGTTAAAGGCGTCCAAGGCGAACGTCGTAGGCTTACGCGTCTTGGACGTGCGTATAAAAAATGTACGTACGTTTACTATGACATAAATAATGACTTATTGATTTGGCCATGTGGCGTGTGCAGCGTGCTGCAAGTGCGAACGGAGAGGAAACGCGTTACTTTCTCCTGGTACGCGTTCGTACAATAATATTAAATTATAAGCCGGGCGAGATCTGACGAGGCCTCGATGGCGGCGGTCGCGACTTAATCGTATACCCACGGGCTTATAAGATGCCCAGTGCAATTGTCAAAAGGTGGGAAAATGTCACATTTCACGTGTGCGATGGTATTTGCCAAAGTATGCCTGGCACGCCGAGAGCCGATAAAACTCAAAGCATGTTCCAATGTGGAGACCTCATGTTATAATACACTTTTATAGACTGTAAATGTGCTATTGGCCGTGTCTAGATAAGCTCGTTAACACCTCTGGTGAGTGCGCTCGGACGGACAACGGCGAGGGGAAACGTTCAACAACATTGATATTACAAGATGTACTGGTGTGTGTACGAACTGCTCGAGCTAGTTCACACGAGTCGCATAATATGAAGAACACAATACGCACAATGTCACCGTTGAAAGTGTGTATATGATACTGACAAAAGACGAGAATTGTGCGCATCATCGACAAACGCCGGTTTCGATTAAATTACTATTATATTATGTTTGCGAAATTATCCGCGTTTTGTTTGTTTTGTACCAAAGGAAAACACAAACTGTAATATCCAACATTTCGGACACGTTTCAGTGCCCGAGAACAGATTGTGTTCACGAAATAGATTAACGCCACGAACATTGTGGGCTTAGGAATAATACCGCGACGTATTAATCCGTGAGTAGTTTAAGTAAAAAAAAAAAAAAATACATTAATTCATAAGTTATGTAATGCATTTTTCTTTTATCCTTATTATACAGCAGCGTTGCAGTTTTTAGAACGATCGGGTGATCCATTTTTTGTCTTTTATTCATCTACGGCTTTGCGCGCGTTGCACAATAACAAATTTTTTTTTTTTTTTATGCAGTAGAGCCCACGACGTACAGCGAGACTACCTCCAGAAGAACTCCGAAGCTGTCAGCCCGCGTCCGTAACATTCTCCACACATTCGTTAAATTTTCTGTTTCTAATCGAGAATTATCACTTATCATTTCCAATGGTTTTCATAATTTTTTTCTCTCTCTTTATTAATATTTTGTCCGACCTTGATACTAGTTTAGTGTGCGTTGTGTCGTGTTATTATTATACTGAACAATTTCTTAACGATTTTGTAACGCACGATTCGTTCACGTTTTATTATTATTAGTATTGTTGCTATTATTATTATATGTATAATATGTCTATAGTCATATATACTCGTATATAGATTTTTTTTAACCGGTAATTAAAGAATAATTTGCCCAGAGCTGTTAACAAGCGGCGTCGGCGGTGCTTGTAATACATTATGTTGTAGTTACCAGCGCTATCTCATGCCCTTGAAAATTCATGTGAACTTTGATGAAACGCGAGCATATTTTCCTACGGCGTGTCACATTTTGTTCCTATTTATTGTGTAGTTGGTATATTTTCTTTCTCGAGAAAAAAAAAAGTTTTACTTGTAGTAGGCCGTCGGTTTGTGTCAAATCCGTGTTTTTCTCGCCTACTTAATAAAACGTAGGCACATGTTACTGCTCTATAAAGTAGCAAATTTTTAAACTTGTTTAAACCACTTCTGTTGTTTTTTTTTCTTGTTATGTAAACAGCTATAACAGTAATACTTTAATCCGTCTAACTTTTCCGCTAATTACTGTATTTTAAACGTTTTTTAAAGATTACTTCGATTTCAAGTG